CTATTCTTTTGGTTTTTCTAAATTTACAATTTCTTTTCTTATTTCTTACGTTAATATTTACATTACCGGCGATTTGTTCATATTATTCTTTTTAAGTGTACATGTTCTTTAAGTAATATATAAAAGTTCTCAAAAACTCAATGTTCTCTGAAAACAAGTTAATAATTCTGCATTTTCAGAAACGTTCAAATGCCATTTTCTCACCAGTAATGTGTGTGTGTGTGTGTGTGTGTGTGTGTGTTTACGGGGGCAGGGGAAAATCTTCTAAAGACAGTGCGGGGCCCGCGCAGCGTGTGGGATTCATAGCTAGCCTATGCCTACCCACTAAAAACCCCTCCCTTTCCTCCTATTCCTTTCCGCGGAACCGCCGTCAGGCATTGCATCGCGAGAAGGAAGGATGGGCTTTTCGCACTTCACCGACATATTACAGGACACTTCTTCGTATCTGCTCCTCGGAGAGGAGCGTTTTCAGGACCTTTGCGGAACAGGTGGCTACCGCACTCCAATACTCTTGTGTCATCAGCATCCTAGTGACGATGGTCTCAGGGGTCACTTCCTCTTGGAGGAGTCTGTGAAGTTCCTCCCTTTCCACTGCGAAGCGTGGACAATGAAAGAACACGTGTTCTACATCTTCAATCACCTAAGTCTTCAAAACCTTGGGCATGAAGAGCTATCGTCCAGCCGGAATCGGAGCTGATACTCTTGGTAACATCCATGCCCTGTCAGCAACTGAGTTAAATAAAAATCTAATTCTCCATGTTCCCTTTGGATTCACGTCATGATGTCGGGAGTGACCCGAAATGTCCATCGCCCATTTGATGATTGCTCCCATCGTCGTTGCCATTGGTCCATTGTCACCCCCCTCTCTTCTTTCGTGATGGTATTCCAGTTTGAAGCCCCCTCCCGCTTGCGCAAGAAGAGTCTAGCTCTCTCCTGCGCAATGAGGTCGATCGGAGGCATATCTGCTAACACACTCACAGCATCATAGGATACGGTGCGAAACGCTTGAGCAACCCGCAAGGCGGACCTTCTGGACCGACTTAGCCCCACGGGCGTATGACTGAATACCCATGGCATCAGCTCGAATAAGGGCTGCGTAAAGAAGAATGGTATTTACTACGCTAGTCAGCAGCCTCCGGTTTCTTTGCCCAGTACCCCCTACACTAGGCATAATGCGTGCCAATGCGGATGCCATACGAGACGCTTTCTCGGAGACTTTGCGCAGGTGCTCGTCAAAGCGCAGTCTCGCGTCGATATGCACTCCTAAATACCTCAGTGACAGCTGCGAGGATATTTTGCAGACTCCTACATTAAGAGTAATACTCTCACTTTTCTGCCCGTCACCAGCACAGCCTCTGTTTTATGGGCGGCCATCTGTAGCCCTACCGACGTAAGCCACCGTCGAATCTCCGCCACAGCCTTGTTGGCAACCTGCGTGACTTCTTCGATGTATTTGCCGACAACTACAATTGCAACATCGTCAGCGAATCCAATAGTTCTTGCTCCTTCCGGCAACTCGAGCTTCAACACGGCGTCATATATAATGTTCCACGACATCGGACCAAGTACCGAGCCTTGTGGGACACCGCCTGTGACCGTATACGATTGTACTCCAGTCCCAGTTTCATATAGGAGGATTCTCTCCTTAAAGTAACTTTTGACCGAGTTCGAGATGTACCTTGGAACTCCAAGAGTTAGTAACGCAGAAAGAATGGAGCTCCACCTTGCAGTG